ACACGCATTCTTGAACAAAGTACTATTATATTATAGTTGCAACTCCTTTTTCGCTCTTTGGTAACGCAGAGAGCGAGGAACATGAAGATGTGCAAATGGAAGATCGGAAGAGTGATGAAGAATCTTTGGTATGTTCATATTAATTCGTTTTTATTTAAAATAATTCTTAACTATGAACATTTTTCTTTTGTGCTTGAAGGATGCCATTAGAAAAACCTATGAAGTAACGGATCAAACCACGAGTCACGGGATAGGATCTACATCCGGTCCAATGTTTTTTTTTCATTTTGGAGATGCTGCACTGTCTACAAGGTTGTATATACTTTTTGGTTTATAATGTAAGCACACAAAAATAACAACTTGTTCTCGTTTTTTTCTCAAAGATCACATTATAGAGATTTAAAAACTTTTATGCGAACTACCTCAATGTAAGCATTTCTCTGAACATAATCTATTTTGATAGCGATAAAATTTCGATTTTTAGTTTTGCTTAATTTTACAGGGAAGAAATAATATCACATTGGCAAAATACGTCACGTGATATGACTATTGAATACAAACGTAAACATAAATCAGCATCAAGAAAATTGATCAAAATGAAGCATAGAAGTAATCAAATGTAACAGTAAGTCGACATGTTAGAGTTTATATCGGCCAGGTGCTAAGAGGGAAAATCAGCCTTTTTTGAGCTTAACTACTAGGAATCGGAAACCGATATAATATAAGTCCGAAGCATAAAAATAAATTTCTTTATTAAATTTACTTATTTTTTCATTGCTATTGTTTTATTCATTGAGTAATTTCGACGATCATTGCGAACCCTGATGTAAAATTTAAAAAAAATGAAAAATGAAGCATCCATTAGTTGGTTATCCGGTCACACGGCGATGACGTTGATGCTATTGGTAATCTGGAGGATAATCATAAGCAATTACTCATTTATAATCACTAGGTCTTCTGTTACCGTCCAAATGATCAATAAATATTGATAGAACTCTCGGCGGAAAATCATAAACAATTACTCATTCATAATGAATACCGATTAGACTCTTGACGGTCATCAAGAGCCGGGCAAATGAGGGAAACAAAAATTTTGATTATGAACGGATAAACATTAGTTATTGTCTATGAAATCGGATTAAAATGAAATGGGGGTTTCTTTTTGACCCTCTAAAACCCATTTATACTTGTTTATTATAAAACCTGCTTCTAAACCCTTATCCTAACCCTAAAAAAAATGCTAAAAAAATGCACCCCAAAATTTGTATTTTTCGGTGGCTTGTCTATTTAACACTATCCCTCATTTTATTTTAATTTGATTTATTTTAATCTGCCAGTTATTTTATTTGGTAGTGACTTAGAATAGCTAGTAAAATTAAATTATGCTAGTGAAACTGGTAATTATCTAAAATCAAATTGGCTATTAAAAGCAATAGCCAATCAGATTTTAGATAGTTACCAGTTTTACTAGCACAATTTAGTTTTATCAGCAACTAAAGCAGTGACCAAAGTATATATGAAAGCAAATATTTTAGATAGTTTATTAGTTTATATAATCTATATAATAATATTTACTATTTAGTTACTTCAACTAGAAAGCTAATATTGTATATACAACTATAAAAAAAAATGATACTAATATGGTGCACCAAGTCACTTGTCATCAAGTGCGCCAAATTTGGCTTGATATATTCAAAGTGCGCCAAACTTGGCTT